TACATAAAAATAATGGACTCAATCTGTCTAGGTAGAACATCACACGTTTTGCACACATAAGTAATTATATCATCTATAACTTTAGCGTTTAAGTTCCCATCAGCAATATCTCCACTGGTAAAAAATAACTCCATTAGTTGTCTGGTTGCTGTGGAGTATACTTCCCAGTCAATAAGTTGGCTTTCATTCGTTGTTATAGTGGTACCATTGAGTCCTAGTGAAATAAGTTCAACAGCGCACATTTCATCTATTTTTCGTATTTCTTTTAAGGTTCTAGGGTATTCCATGGGTTATAATTTTTAAAATCCCCCTTAAACTGCAGCTACCTGGGTATTAACGAAAATGCTATTAGCAGTGTCCAAACATGGAAAATAAAAAAACAAAATATATTAAATAGTTTTATTTTTTGATACTTTCAAGGTTTTATTCCGTTAGTACGGCAATACATAAAAATAATGGACTCAATCTGTCTAGGTAGAACATCACACGTTTTGCACACATAAGTAATTATATCATCTATAACTTTAGCGTTTAAGTTCCCATCAGCAATATCTCCACTGGTAAAAAATAACTCCATTAGTTGTCTGGTTGCTGTGGAGTATACTTCCCAGTCAATAAGTTGGCTTTCATTCGTTGTTATAGTGGTACCATTGAGTCCTAGTGAAATAAGTTCAACAGCGCACATTTCATCTATTTTTCGTTTTTTCTTTTGAGGTTCTAGGGTTTTAATACCAATTAAATTAGGTTTTTCTTCGGAAGATTTAGATATCAGATTATTAATGCATGTTGGAATATATTCATTCATATCCTTATACTTATTCAGTTTAGTTTGCTCATAGTTTTCCTGAATTTCCACCACATCATCCATAGTTAGTTCTTCCGTTATGGCTTGCTCGCCTTGATTATAAATATCGTTAGAATATTCTGTATATTTTGACTGTAATTCAACCACATCATCCATAGTTAGTTCTTTTTTTATAGGGCGATCTAAATCAATACCCAAATCATTCGATTCACTGCCATAATCCGAATCATTAGATGAGAAACACGTAGGATTTGTAACTTCTTGCCTTGGAATTGGATCTTGTAACAAAACTGGTACTGTTTCTGGAATAACTTCTGGTAATATTTTTTTTCAAACAATAACCTTTCTGCCTTCATGAGCAATGTTTTTGAATTTGTATCGTATTGATATTGGAAATTTTTCAAGTTCGGCAAGTTATTTTTGAGTGAGACTTCCATACTTCTAAGGTAATTCATAACGATGTTACGTTCTGTCTTCAATTGTTCGAAGATGATCTTAACGTTTGTAGTTTCCATGTTTCTGGTATTTAGTGCTTTTCACAACTAATATTTTGTTGATGATGATGATTAGTATTTATATGTTAAGGTAACCTTTTTGGTATTTCCATGGGATTATAATTTTTAAAATCCCCCTTAAATTGCAGCTACCTGGGTATTAACGAAAATGCTATTAGCAGTGTCCAAACATGGAAAATAAAAAAACCAAATATATTAAATAGTTTTATTTTTTGATACTTTCAAGGTTTCATTCCGTTAGTACGACAATACATAAAAATAATGGACTCAATCTGTCTAGGTAGAACATCACACGTTTTGCACACATAAGTAATTATATCATCTATAACTTTAGCGTTTAAGTTCCCATCAGCAATATCTCCACTGGTAAAAAATAACTCCATTAGTTGTCTGGTTGCTGTGGAGTATACTTCCCAGTCAATAAGTTGGCTTTCATTCGTTGTTATAGTGGTACCATTGAGTCCTAGTGAAATAAGTTCAACAGCGCACATTTCATCTATTTTTCGTTTTTTCTTTTAAGGTTCTAGGGTATTCCATGGGTTATAATTTTTAAAATCCCCCTTAAACTGCAGCTACCTGGGTATTAACGAAAATGCTATTAGCAGTGTCCAAACATGGAAAATAAAAAAACAAAATATATTAAATAGTTTTATTTTTTGATACTTTCAAGGTTTCATTCCGTTAGTACGGCAATACATAAAAATAATGGACTCAATCTGTCTAGGTAGAACATCACACGTTTTGCACACATAAGTAATTATATCATCTATAACTTTAGCGTTTAAGTTCCCATCAGCAATATCTCCACTGGTAAAAAATAACTCCATTAGTTGTCTGGTTGCTGTGGAGTATACTTCCCAGTCAATAAGTTGGCTTTCATTCGTTGTTATAGTGGTACCATTGAGTCCTAGTGAAATAAGTTCAACAGCGCACATTTCATCTATTTTTCGTTTTTTCTTTTGAGGTTCTAGGGTATTCCATGGGTTATAATTTTTAAAATCCCCCTTAAACTGCAGCTACCTGGGTATTAACGAAAATGCTATTAGCAGTGTCCAAACATGGAAAATAAAAAACAAAATATATTAAATAGTTTTATTTTTTGATACTTTCAAGGTTTTATTCCGTTAGTACGGCAATACATAAAAATAATGGACTCAATCTGTCTAGGTAGAACATCACACGTTTTGCACACATAAGTAATTATATCATCTATAACTTTAGCGTTTAAGTTCCCATCAGCAATATCTCCACTGGTAAAAAATAACTCCATTAGTTGTCTGGTTGCTGTGGAGTATACTTCCCAGTCAATAAGTTGGCTTTCATTCGTTGTTATAGTGGTACCATTGAGTCCCAGTGAAATAAGTTTAACAGCGCACATTTCATCTATTTTTCGTTTTTTCTTTTGAGGTTCTAGGGTTTTAATACCAATTAAATTAGGTTTTTCTTCGGAAGATTTAGATATCAGATTATTAATGCATGTTGAAATATATTCATTCATATCCTTATACTTATTCAGTTTAGTTTGCTCATAGTTTTCCTGAATTTCCACCACATCATCCATAGTTAGTTCTTCCGTTATGGCTTGCTCGCCTTGATTATAAATATCGTTAGAATATTCTGTATATTTTGACTGTAATTCAACCACATCATCCATAGTTAGTTCTTTTTTTATAGGGCGATCTAAATCAATACCCAAATCATTCGATTCACTGCCATAATCCGAATCATTAGATGAGAAACACGTAGGATTTGTAACTTCTTGCCTTGGAATTGGATCTTGTAACAAAACTGGTACTGTTTCTGGAATAACTTCTGGTAATATTTTTTTTCAAACAATAACCTTTCTGCCTTCATGAGCAATGTTTTTGAATTTGTATCGTATTGATATTGGAAATTTTTCAAGTTCGGCAAGTTATTTTTGAGTGAGACTTCCATACTTCTAAGGTAATTCATAACGATGTTACGTTCTGTCTTCAATTGTTCGAAGATGATCTTAACGTTTGTAGTTTCCATGTTTCTGGTATTTAGTGCTTTTCACAACTAATATTTTGTTGATGAAGATTTAGTATTTATATGTTAAGGTAACCTTTTTGGTATTTCCATGGGATTATAATTTTTAAAATCCCCCTTAAATTGCAGCTACCTGGGTATTAACGAAAATGCTATTAGCAGTGTCCAAACATGGAAAATAAAAAAACAAAATATATTAAATAGTTTTATTTTTTGATACTTTCAAGGTTTCATTCCGTTAGTACGGCAATACATAAAAATAATGGACTCAATCTGTCTAGGTAGAACATCACACGTTTTGCACACATAAGTAATTATATCATCTATAACTTTAGCGTTTAAGTTCCCATCAGCAATATCTCCACTGGTAAAAAATAACTCCATTAGTTGTCTGGTTGCTGTGGAGTATACTTCCCAGTCAATAAGTTGGCTTTCATTCGTTGTTATAGTGGTACCATTGAGTCCTAGTGAAATAAGTTCAACAGCGCACATTTCATCTATTTTTCGTTTTTTCTTTTGAGGTTCTAGGGTATTCCATGGGTTATAATTTTTAAAATCCCCCTTAAACTGCAGCTACCTGGGTATTAACGAAAATGCTATTAGCAGTGTCCAAACATGGAAAATAAAAAAACAAAATATATTAAATAGTTTTATTTTTTGATACTTTCAAGGTTTCATTCCGTTAGTACGGCAATACATAAAAATAATGGACTCAATCTGTCTAGGTAGAACATCACACGTTTTGCACACATAAGTAATTATATCATCTATAACTTTAGCGTTTAAGTTCCCATCAGCAATATCTCCACTGGTAAAAAATAACTCCATTAGTTGTCTGGTTGCTGTGGAGTATACTTCCCAGTCAATAAGTTAGCTTTCATTCGTTGTTATAGTGGTACCATTGAGTCCTAGTGAAATAAGTTCAACAGCGCACATTTCATCTACTTTAGTTGTCTGGTTGCTGTGGAGTATACTTCCCAGTCAATAAGTTGGCTTTCATTCGTTGTTATAGTGGTACCATTGAGTCCTAGTGAAATAAGTTCAACAGCGCACATTTCATCTATTTTTCGTTTTTTCTTTTAAGGTTCTAGGGTATTCCATGGGTTATAATTTTTAAAATCCCCCTTAAACTGCAGCTACCTGGGTATTAACGAAAATGCTATTAGCAGTGTCCAAACATGGAAAATAAAAAAACAAAATATATTAAATAGTTTTATTTTTTGATACTTTCAAGGTTTCATTCCGTTAGTACGGCAATACATAAAAATAATGGACTCAATCTGTCTAGGTAGAACATCACACGTTTTGCACACATAAGTAATTATATCATCTATAACTTTAGCGTTTAAGTTCCCATCAGCAATATCTCCACTGGTAAAAAATAACTCCATTAGTTGTCTGGTTGCTGTGGAGTATACTTCCCAGTCAATAAGTTGGCTTTCATTCGTTGTTATAGTGGTACCATTGAGTCCTAGTGAAATAAGTTCAACAGCGCACATTTCATCTATTTTTCGTTTTTTCTTTTGAGGTTCTAGGGTTTTAATACCAATTAAATTAGGTTTTTCTTCGGAAGATTTAGATATCAGATTATTAATGCATGTTGGAATATATTCATTCATATCCGTATACTTATTCAGTTTAGTTTGCTCATAGTTTTCCTGAATTTCCACCACATCATCCATAGTTAGTTCTTCCGTTATGGCTTGCTCGCCTTGATTATAAATATCGTTAGAATATTCTGTATATTTTGACTGTAATTCAACCACATCATCCATAGTTAGTTCTTTTTTTATAGGGCGATCTAAATCAATACCCAAATCATTCGATTCACTGCCATAATCCGAATCATTAGATGAGAAACACGTAGGATTTGTAACTTCTTGCCTTGGAATTGGATCTTGTAACAAAACTGGTACTGTTTCTGGAATAACTTCTGGTAATGTTTTTTTTTCAAACAATAACCTTTCTGCCTTCATGAGCAATGTTTTTGAATTTGTATCGTATTGATATTGGAAATTTTTCAAGTTCAGCAAGTTATTTTTGAGTGAGACTTCCATACTTCTAAGGTAATTCATAACGATGTTACGTTCTGTCTTCAATTGTTCGAAGATGATCTTAACGTTTGTAGTTTCCATGTTTCTGGTATTTAGTGCTTATCACAACTAATATTTTGTTGATGAAGATTTAGTATTTATATGTTAAGGTAACCTTTTTGGTATTTCCATAGGATTATAATTTTTAAAATCCCCCTTAAATTGCAGCTACCTGGGTATTAACGAAAATGCTATTAGCAGTGTCCAAACATGGAAAATAAAAAAACAAAATATATTAAATAGTTTTATTTTTTGATACTTTCAAGGTTTCATTCCGTTAGTACGACAATACATAAAAATAATGGACTCAATCTGTCCAGGTAGAACATCACACGTTTTGCACACATAAGTAATTATATCATCTATAATTTTAGCGTTTAAGTTCCCATCAGCAATATCTCCACTGGTAAAAAATAACTCCATTAGTTGTCTGGTTGCTGTGGAGTATACTTCCCAGTCAATAAGTTGGCTTTCATTCGTTGTTATAGTGGTACCATTGAGTCCTAGTGAAATAAGTTCAACAGCGCACATTTCATCTATTTTTCGTTTTTTCTTTTAAGGTTCTAGGGTATTCCATGGGTTATAATTTTTAAAATCCCCCTTAAACTGCAGCTACCTGGGTATTAACGAAAATGCTATTAGCAGTGTCCAAACATGGAAAATAAAAAAACAAAATATATTAAATAGTTTTATTTTTTGATACTTTCAAGGTTTCATTCCGTTAGTACGGCAATACATAAAAATAATGGACTCAATCTGTCTAGGTAGAACATCACACGTTTTGCACACATAAGTAATTATATCATCTATAACTTTAGCGTTTAAGTTCCCATCAGCAATATCTCCACTGGTAAAAAATAACTCCATTAGTTGTCTGGTTGCTGTGGAGTATACTTCCCAGTCAATAAGTTGGCTTTCATTCGTTGTTATAGTGGTACCATTGAGTCCTAGTGAAATAAGTTCAACAGCGCACATTTCATCTATTTTTCGTTTTTTCTTTTGAGGTTCTAGGGTATTCCATGGGTTATAATTTTTAAAATCCCCCTTAAACTGCAGCTACCTGGGTATTAACGAAAATGCTATTAGCAGTGTCCAAACATGGAAAATAAAAAAACAAAATATATTAAATAGTTTTATTTTTTGATACTTTCAAGGTTTCATTCCGTTAGTACGGCAATACATAAAAATATGGACTCAATCTGTCTAGGTAGAACATCACACGTTTTGCACACATAAGTAATTATATCATCTATAACTTTAGCGTTTAAGTTCCCATCAGCAATATCTCCACTGGTAAAAAATAACTCCATTAGTTGTCTGGTTGCTGTGGAGTATACTTCCCAGTCAATAAGTTGGCTTTCATTCGTTGTTATAGTGGTACCATTGAGTCCTAGTGAAATAAGTTCAACAGCGCACATTTCATCTATTTTTCGTTTTTTCTTTTAAGGTTCTAGGGTATTCCATGGGTTATAATTTTTAAAATCCCCCTTAAACTGCAGCTACCTGGGTATTAACGAAAATGCTATTAGCAGTGTCCAAACATGGAAAATAAAAAAACAAAATATATTAAATAGTTTTATTTTTTGATACTTTCAAGGTTTCATTCCGTTAGTACGGCAATACATAAAAATAATGGACTCAATCTGTCTAGGTAGAACATCACACGTTTTGCACACATAAGTAATTATATCATCTATAACTTTAGCGTTTAAGTTCCCATCAGCAATATCTCCACTGGTAAAAAATAACTCCATTAGTTGTCTGGTTGCTGTGGAGTATACTTCCCAGTCAATAAGTTGGCTTTCATTCGTTGTTATAGTGGTACCATTGAGTCCTAGTGAAATAAGTTTAACAGCGCACATTTCATCTATTTTTCGTTTTTTCTTTTGAGGTTCTAGGGTTTTAATACCAATTAAATTAGGTTTTTCTTCGGAAGATTTAGATATCAGATTATTAATGCATGTTGGAATATATTCATTCATATCCGTATACTTATTCAGTTTAGTTTGCTCATAGTTTTCCTGAATTTCCACCACATCATCCATAGTTAGTTCTTCTGTTATGGCTTGCTCGCCTTGATTATAAATATCGTTAGAATATTCTGTATATTTTGACTGTAATTCAACCACATCATCCATAGTTAGTTCTTTTTTTATAGGGCGATCTAAATCAATACCCAAATCATTCGATTCACTGCCATAATCCGAATCATTAGATGAGAAACACGTAGGATTTGTAACTTCTTGCCTTGGAATTGGATCTTGTAACAAAACTGGTACTGTTTCTGGAATAACTTCTGGTAATGTTTTTTTTTCAAACAATAACCTTTCTGCCTTCATGAGCAATGTTTTTGAATTTGTATCGTATTGATATTGGAAATTTTTCAAGTTCAGCAAGTTATTTTTGAGTGAGACTTCCATAGTTCTAAGGTAATTCATAACGATGTTACGTTCTGTCTTCAATTGTTCGAAGATGATCTTAACGTTTGTAGTTTCCATGTTTCTGGTATTTAGTGCTTATCACAACTAATATTTTGTTGATGAAGATTTAGTATTTATATGTTAAGGTAACCTTTTTGGTATTTCCATGGGTTATAATTTTTAAAATCCCCCTTAAACTGCAGCTACCTGGGTATTAACGAAAATGCTATTAGCAGTGTCCAAACATGGAAAATAAAAAAACAAAATATATTAAATAGTTTTATTTTTTGATACTTTCAAGGTTTCATTCCGTTAGTACGACAATACATAAAAATAATGGACTCAATCTGTCTCGGTAGAACATCACACGTTTTGCACACATAAGTAATTATATCATCTATAACTTTAGCGTTTAAGTTCCCATCAGCAATATCTCCACTGGTAAAAAATAACTCCATTAGTTGTCTGGTTGCTGTGGAGTATACTTCCCAGTCAATAAGTTGGCTTTCATTCGTTGTTATAGTGGTACCATAGGGTCCTAGTGAAATAAGTTCAACAGCGCACATTTCATCTATTTTTCGTTTTTTCTTTTGAGGTTCTAGGGTTTTAATACCAATTAAATTAGGTTTTTCTTCGGAAGATTTAGATATCAGATTATTAATGCATGTTGGAATATATTCATTCATATCCTTATACTTATTCAGTTTAGTTTGCTCATAGTTTTCCTGAATTTCCACCACATCATCCATAGTTAGTTCTTCCGTTATGGCTTGCTCGCCTTGATTATAAATATCGTTAGAATATTCTGTATATTTTGACTGTAATTCAACCACATTATCCATAGTTAGTTCTTTTTTTATAGGGCGATCTAAATCAATACCCAAATCATTCGATTCACTGCCATAATCCGAATCATTAGATGAGAAACACGTAGGATTTGTAACTTCTTGCCTTGGAATTGGATCTTGTAACAAAACTGGTACTGTTTCTGGAATAACTTCTGGTAATGTTTTTTTTTCAAAGAATAACCTTTCTGCCTTCATGAGCAATGTTTTTGAATTTGTATCGTATTGATATTGGAAATTTTTCAAGTTCAGCAAGTTATTTTTGAGTGAAACTTCCATACTTCTAAGGTAATTCATAACGATGTTACGTTCTGTCTTCAATTGTTCGAAGATGATCTTAACGTTTGTAGTTTCCATGTTTCTGGTATTTAGTGCTTATCAAAACTAATATTTTGTTGATGAAGATTTAGTATTTATATGTTAAGGTAACCTTTTTGGTATTTCCATGGGATTATAATTTTTAAAATCCCCCTTAAATTGCAGCTACCTGGGTATTAACGAAAATGCTATTAGCAGTGTCCAAACATGGAATATAAAAAAACAAAATATATTAAATAGTTTTATTTTTTGATACGTTCAAGGTTTCATTCCGTTAGTACGACAATACATAAAAATAATGGACTCAATCTGTCTAGGTAGAACATCACACGTTTTGCACACATAAGTAATTATATCATCTATAACTTTAGCGTTTAAGTTCCCATCAGCAATATCTCCACTGGTAAAAAATAACTCCATTAGTTGTCTGGTTGCTGTGGAGTATACTTCCCAGTCAATAAGTTGGCTTTTATTTGTTGTTATAGTGGTACCATTGAGTCCTAGTGAAATAAGTTTAACAGCGCACATTTCATCTATTTTTCGTTTTTTCTTTTGAGGTTCTAGGGTTTTAATACCAATTAAATTAGGTTTTTCTTCGGAAGATTTAGATATCAGATTATTAATGCATGTTGGAATATATTCATTCATATCCTTATACTTATTCAGTTTAGTTTGCTCATAGTTTTCCTGAATTTCCACCACATCATCCATAGTTAGTTCTTCCGTTATGGCTTGCTCGCCTTGATTATAAATATCGTTAGAATATTCTGTATATTTTGACTGTAATTCAACCACATCATCCATAGTTAGTTCTTTTTTTATAGGGCGATCTAAATCAATACCCAAATCATTCGATTCACTGCCATAATCCGAATCATTAGATGAGAAACACGTAGGATTTGTAACTTCTTGCCTTGGAATTGGATCTTGTAACAAAACTGGTACTGTTTCTGGAATAACTTCTGGTAATGTTTTTTTTCAAACAATAACCTTTCTGCCTTCATGAGCAATGTTTTTGAATTTGTATCGTATTGATATTGGAAATTTTTCAAGTTCAGCAAGTTATTTTTGAGTGAGACTTCCATACTTCTAAGGTAATTCATAACGATGTTACGTTCTGTCTTCAATTGTTCGAAGATGATCTTAACGTTTGTAGTTTTCATGTTTCTGGTATTTAGTTAACAGGAACGGTTATTATAAATTTGTAAATGTATTCTGGGTTGCCTACGTTACGAGAATATATAAAATCCTTAATTAGTGCCTATTTAATCATTGATGCATTTATCCATAGATTATAAAGATTATATCAACATTGCATATTATTTTAATATATAATTATTATTGTTTATATTATGTTATTTATTATTTCATAATGTAAGGAAAAGCAAAAGACGTTTTTAACAATACCATATAATATAAATTTATTATATTATTATTAAATATTTAACGGTTTAGTTTT